TAGAGTCAGTGGATCTAGAAAATAAAAAATATTGATTAAAATATTAAAAAAATTCACTGAAAATAAAGAAAAATATTGATTAAAAATTCAAAAATTATTTTTGAGAACTCCAAAAACTAAACAAAGTGAATGTTTGCTCTATTTGTTCTTGAAATTTTGATGTGATTACACAAGGATGAAAGACAAACGCCGAAGACGAACTTGAGTTACTAACAACAACATCATGTTTGTTATTTCAATGGGAATGTAGGTGAGAGGAAAATGTTTTGTATATGAATAGGGTACCACATGGTACCATCTTCACCAATTACAAATGTATATGTCATTTATTATTCTCCAAACACCTAACATAAATGTAGTGATTATACTGTAAAATCTAATCACAATAATAGAAGGTACATCATGAAGAAAATATCACGAAGATGATCATAAAAGATTTTTTACCTTTAGATTACACATACAATAAAACAACACACTCTAATCAAATGATGAGAAATCTTTTTAATGTATTTCATGATGCATTTCATGATATTTTTTTAATCATCCCTAATACTATTCTATATCTTATCCATGTACAAAAATTACAAATCATTCATCTCCTAATTTCCTATTCGGTTGCACAATTATCTTTATTTATTATGAATTCCGTTGTAAAATAATTTTTTAAAAAAAAACAAACAATGGCTACAATTGTCATTGGCATAATCAATAACATTTTCACAAGCATATAACTAACTGATATATCACACTATATATATAAAGCCTGATTTAGAAGTCAACAATATTTTAGGCCTCCCTATGAACAGTGTTTTCCCATATGTGTAAAGTCGATTTTAGCCCTATTCTTCAGTTTTTGTTCATTGGGTCTCTAAATATCTAGGAGTATTAGTGGAAATTGGACTTGTCATTTTTACCCTTCGCTTTGCTAAAGAGCTGTCACTTGTTCAGGGATAATTTTGGAAATTACAAACTAATCTATATTATTATATTAAGTGAGGTCCAAATTTGGTGTAGTGAAGCTTCTACCATGTGGAATTTAGTTGATTAAAATTAAACAAATACATCCCGCATTTCCTCCTTAAATGTTTCCTAACAAACTACTCAATTTTGATGTACTGAAGACATTGAAAGTTAATTATCTAAAACTCCTATTTATAAATGTTATGATAGCTCAGGTTATATCTAAGAATTTTTGAACCAATAAGTCCTATTTAGTAAAATAGAGAATTTTATCAGTTTTTCTCAATTTTTAAAATTAAGAATATTATCAATTTTGCAAAATAGTGTTCCAGATAATTGTTTCACTAACCGATGAAAAACAATAAAGTATAAGATTAAACTTTTTTGGCATTCTACCAATAATTGGTTTAATTAAACTTCTCAATAACACTGAGAATATTATCGGTTTTTTCCAGTTTTAAAACTGATAACATTAGCAATTTTTTATTTTTAAATTTTTTTTTCCATCCACCAAAAAAAAAGTTTTTTTATTATTTAATTTTGCACATCAATGTTCCATCATTTGGTTTCAGTTTTCTAAAAACTAAGTTTTTTAGTTTTCGTGTTTTTTTTTTAATTTTTAGTGAATATTTTTAAAATTTTAAGTAATTTTTTTATTTTGTTAGATGTACCTTACTTAAATGTATGTAAATAATAAAATATTTGTGAAAAAATATTTTAAAAAATTAATAAATACACAAAAATATGAAAACTATACTGAATTTTCATTTTTTTGGTATTTTTTGGTATTTAGTGTATTTTTTAAAGATTTTTTTCATAAATATTATACTTTTAAAGTGTATTTATGTTAGGGGTGCCTAAAAATTAAAAACAATTACTTAAAATATTAAAAAAATTCATTAAAAATATTAAAATACTAAAAATAAAAAAATAAAATTTTCTAAAAACAAACAAAGTGAATATTATTAAGAAACTGGAAACGAGCCTAGTGGCCCAACATCAGACTGGTGAGAAAGCAAACTTGCAAACATCAATTTGGGAAACAGTCTTCCCAAACTGGAGTATTAAAGGCAAAATAAAACACGTAGGAATTTTCCCCTATATGAGTTTTTAAAATGTAGATTTTGAGTTTTTAGTCCATAATTTTTTTAGTGATTTTTTAAAATATTTTGATAATTTTTTAGATATATCTAATCTAGATGTATTTAAAAAATAAAAAAATCTGTGATGGATTTTTTTTAAATAATTCAAAAAATTCAAAAAAAAAAATAATATATTGAATTTATATATATATATATATATATTTTGTATTTGTTAGTATTTAGTGAATTTTAATTAAAAAAATATATAAATTTTATATTTTTTAAGTATATTTAGATTCAGTGGATCTAGAAAATAAAAAATATTGATTAAAATATTAAAAAAATTCACTGAAAATAAAGAAAAATACTGATTAAAAATTCAAAAATTGTATTTGAGAACTCCAAAACTAAACGAAGTGAATGTTTGCTCTATTTGTTCTTGAAATTTTGATGTGATTACACAGGGATGAAAGACAAACGCCGAAGAGGAACTTGAGCTACTAACAACAACATCATGTTTGTTATTTCAATGGGAATGTAGGTGAGAGGAAAATGTTTTGAATACGAATAGGGTATCATATGGTACCATCTTCACCAATTACAAATGTATATGTTATTTATTATTCTCCAAACACCAAACATAAATGTAGTGATTATACTGTAAAATTTAATTACAATAATAGAAGGTACATCATGAAGAAAATATCATGAAGATGATCATGAAAATTTTTTTACTTTCAGATTATACATACAATAAAACAATACACTCTAATCAAATGATAAAAAATCTTCATGATGCATTTTATGATATTTTTTTAATCATCCCTAATACTATTATATATCTTATCCGTGTACAAAAATTACACAGGTGAGAGAGTGTAGGACTCCAAAGGTTTCCTCTGCAACTTTTGTTCCTTCAGATCTGAGGATAGTGAAATGAAAGTTCACTTTCCTAAAAAATTGACAGTGAAATTTCACTGTTTTGAAGACAGTGATGCAACGAAAATTTTCAATTCGTTTTCTATAATTTCATACTCATCATTGGCTTCATTTGCTAGACTAGATCTTGTTTAGAGGATTTCAAAAATACCAATTTGAGAATAGGGTTAGCTGGGTAGTTGGTTTCGTTTTCAACGCCCCTTTTCCTACGCCACTGCATATGCCTCGGCTATGAAACCCTGATAGAAAAAAAAATAAGAAAATGAAAGAGAGAGAAAGATTTGAGAATAGGTTTAGCTGGGTAGTTGGGGAGTGGTTGAGTAGTGGCAGGGAAAGGTAGCAGGAGACTTGGAGGTGAAGGTGGGCTAGAGAGGAATGAAGGTGGTGAAGATGGGTTGGAAAGTAATGAAGGTGGTGGGGATGGGTTAGAGAGGGACGAGCGAGTGTGGAAAGGGCTGATGAGGAGTTGGGGTGAGTGGCAATAACGTTAGAGTTGGGGTTAGGAATTGGGAGGTTAGGTATGATGGAAAAATTGGAATTTTATAATGAGATAAAATTTTTATACAAAAAATATAAGGAATGAAGGTCCAAAGAAAAAGATGGAATGTTGTTAGCAACAACATTTTGTTCTTATCATTTTTTTAATACAATAAGTATGCTTCATCCAAGTCTCCCTTAATTTTGAAAGATGGATACTTTGTACAATCTGTCCCATAGAATAAGCATCTTATACTAATTTCACTTATTATTTGAAGGGGCAACTAACATCAAACCAATTTCAATCTACTTCAATGAATTTCACTTTATAGGAATAGGACATGGAGGTTGGGTGACCAATTCACTTTCTTCTTGAATAGTATGATAAATGGATTGGTTGTTCTATTCCCCACCTTGCATTTATGCTCTCATTGTTCTTCCATGTTCATATACAGTGCTTAATTAAAGAAGAAATGGATCATATTGTTGCCTGGTTATATGCCAATTGTTTTTATTTAAAAAAAAAAAAAAACTTATTGGATTTGATCAAACAAAAATGCATCAGTGATTCCATTTGATGGCTACACCGTAGCCGAAATGTAAGCTAATTAAGGATGTAGAATTGTGAAAAGAGCCATTATATAAACTTCGTGAATGAAATAAACTTTTAAAGATAGCATATAAGTTGGTTAGGTCCCTACTCTAATCATTTAATCTCCATAACCAACAATGATATAAAAAAAATATAAATAATTTTTTTCCCATCAAGTTAATACTAGATTGGATTACATTATTCGACATGTCTAGTGTAGAGGATTAGGATTCCCCACAAATTTCTTTTTAATTTTTTTTATTAATTGGGGGCCTACAATGATCTTCTTGTGAATTCACGGGTCTTAGTTTGAAGTTGAAACAAAATAACATTGTTTTGTGGTGCGAAGTTTAAAATAAAAGAGGAAATTTTATTTTATTCCTCCACATTATTCTTTAAAAATTAATTAGATCATTGTCTTTTTAATTATATCAATTTTACACATTTACTTTTTGAATTGTGATCAATTTGATCCATGCCATCCTCTACCATCTATAATAAGATGGAATCTGCTGATTCCAAACACTTCTTTGGAAGGAAAATAAAGTGTTTTCAGTCTACACATATGTAAGAGGCAGCCGCAACTGTAAGTTATATTAGGATTCTTCATTAGTTTATAATCCACACTGTAACTATTTCTCGCGTGTAAAATTGTTATACATAGATAAGAAACAATACATTTTCCATCAAAAGCAGAATTTGGAAGGCTAAGTCGGCATATTTTATATTATTATAAATGACAAGTTAAATTATGTACGTGTGGCTTCTAAGTCATAGACTAGACTTAGTAAAACACTTGTTCTAATCCAAAGTCACCGATTAAAAGTTCATTCATAATGATGTGAAAAGAAAATTGAGCCTTGTATCATTCGAGGTATAACAAATTAAAATCGATACATATTATACTACATCATAATAATGAATTAATAATAAAGGAAAGTATATCTAACCTTTTAGCCATTCGCTTCTTCATAAGCTCAAACTCCTCACTAAATTCCATGTTTTAACTAACAAACAACAACCCAACACTTTTCAACTCGGATTTCTCCTCTGTTCCTTCCTCTTCCTCCGACTCTTCTGCAACTTCTGCATAATCAATTTCAGAACAAAACAAAAGCATTGTGATAAGTATAAATGTTTTTAAACTTTTGTCTTTGCATTTCACAATGAAAAGTTTGGAAACACTCGCTGTTTTTGCAAAAACAATCCACAAAAAGTTAAAAAAAAATAAAATAATTTAAACAATGAAATTAGAAGTGTTTTCTCGAAAACAATTTTCAGAATTGGTTTGCCACTTTTTCTGTGTTCATAAACAAAAAACAGAAAGTACCCTGAAACTGCCATCGAACAAGAACTAAATCACGAAGAAAGCTAGAAAAATTTAATCGTGAGAAACATGGAGAGTAGTAACTTTCCAGGAAAATTATGATAGAAAAAAGAGTGATGAACTATCTTACATTTTCTTTCAATGATACATATCCAATTGTCTGAAAGCCAAACTTCTCTGTAGGTCAGAAACATCCAATTATTCCCAATAGAAACTCAATACCTTCCTCGTACAATATATATCATGTGTATGTACAATATATATGTAGATTGTAGAAGGAAGAAGGAGGATGAGAGGTCGTTGTTGAGGTAGCTAAGAGGAGTTATTTGATGTTGAAATCTATGCACTACTTTCCAACATATAGTGCGTGCGTGCCGCTTCAGCTGATTCCAACACATTCTCTTACTAGACTAAACCAATATGCTTCTTTGTTTAGAAGGATAGTAGGATAAGAAATGAAAATGGCAGAAAGTGAAGTGAAAGAAAGAAAGAAAAAAGGAAGAAATAAAAGTTTATTTTCTTGTATGCATTTAAATAGATGAAAATTTTAATAAGAAAATGATGGGAAAAAATATAACCACTGCAAAATAGCGACTTGTGGAAAGAAATATAGACAAAAATGAAAGATTTGTGGGAAAAAATGAAAGATTCTTGTATATTTGTCAAAAAAATTATTTGTTTAAGTAGTAAGCTAATTTGAGTTGTATAGAAAACTGTAGTTTTCATAAGACTCACCATCTAAACAAATACATACAAATTTATTTTTTTTCCATTCATTTTTCTATATTATCTATCTAACCAAACTGAGCCTAAGAGTAAATTTTGCTTACCTCTTTTGAAATTGAAAGAAAATAGGGAAATAACATGTTAGAGTAAATGTTGATTTTTTTTCCCTTCAAATTAATGGTAAATTTTATAAATTTCAATTATTAAATTCATAAACCTTTTCATCTCTATGTTAATTATTTTTGAAAAATACACATGAATAGCAATTTTTCCAAGAAAATACACTAAATTTTACAATTTTGATAAAATTAGAGTGACTTTCTTTTTAGTAATTTGGGTTAATTACACTTTTTACTCCTGTAATTTAACTTAAATTTCACTTTAGTTACTATAGTTTTGAATAATTTAGTCTCTATACTTTAAGTTTAGTTTTAATTTAGTTCCCTTTAAATTGAAGGTTAAAATTAATAATTTTGAGACATTTGTTAATTTTCTAAAGTTTCAATTTGATTCTTCTATCTAAATTAAAAGTTAAAATTAATAATTTGAGAATACTTGTTAATTTTCTAAGATGTGTGCATAGACAAAAGTAACAAAAATTTAGATAGAACGACCAAATTGAAACCAAACTTAAAGTGTAGGGACCAAATTGTTTCAATTAAAACTATAAGGATTAATGTGAAATTTAGGTCAAAGTAAAATTGTGAAAGGTGTAATTAACCCTAGTGATTTTAAAAAGATCAAAATTAATGCAGATAGTATGAAAATACAAAAATAAATAAAAAAATATGTATTTTAGTATATAACATTTTTTAATCTACATGACTACAAAATTATTGGTAAAATTGGGATTAAGTGTTATGTGAATTAAATTTAAAAGGAGCTTAATGTAATTATATTAAAATTTTGAGATTTATCAATTTTTTTTCCCCAATATCAAGAGAGATTAGCCTAATTTACCCTTTAGGTAATTATTAAATTATATTGAACTCCTTGGGATTTTAAAAAAATTCAATAAGTAGTACAATTTTAGAAAATTTATATTGATTTTCATTTTAATAAGATTAAAAGAAACCAACTAGGCTTAGCCTAGTTGGCCATCATGTCTTCTTTAAGATTTAGTTCATTGGGTGGTCTATGAGTTCAATTTTCCTTAGGGGAGTTGAATTAATGGAGTGTAAGTATTTATATGCTTTACCAAGGGTATATGGGAAGGTTTTCTCCCATATGTACTAATAATCTAACAATTAATAATTAACATTTGCCAATCAAAATAATAATAATAATAAGAAGAAGAAGAAGAAGAAGAAGATTAAAAGAATCATAACTAATGCAAATAGTGTGAAAACACAAATATAAACAATATAAATTAAATATATGTTTTATTATAAAAGAGATTGACAATATTATTTTTCTATCTATATGATTAGTGAATACTAATTAAAAATGGTCTAAACGTTATGTAAATTAAAAATTTAAGAAAATTCAAAATAATTATGTCAAGCTTATGTGAGTTATTGTATTTTGTCCAACTCTTGAATGAGATTAATATAATTTATTCTAATTATTAAGTAATATTAAAGTATCACGTGCTATTATTCATGTGATGCTCTAAATGAGTGACCTAGTGAAAAACTTTATTGGTTCTAAATTAATCACATAATAAAAAATTGAGGGGGCAGAAGTTTTTGAAGATTTTATTATTATCTCTATATTTTGTGAGTTTTTGTATAATGCATAATACAATGACCCTATAATTTTATAAAAAATAATTTATTAATTCTCTATTTCATTAGTATTTTATAATATATAATAATATGATCTCTAACTAATTCACATTTTAGTGAATAACATCAATTTCACAGAGTTGATTTTATTTATACAAGAGTTACATATCACCCCCTTTTATTTTTATTTTTATAATTTTAAAAGTCAAAGAAGTATGTATATTTTTATATACTAAATTATATCAACTAACAAAGTAGTTTAAAATAGTGATCTAATCAATTATGTATTAAGATGTAATTAATAGTTCAAAATTTAGGGGGAGAAAAACATGATTGATATATTTTCTTCCTCATGATTTTTTTTTTTCCACAACTGTTATATAAGAAATTAATTATTTTTATTTTATTCTATTCATATACCGTGACCCTCCTAAATAAAATTCGTAGTTTCGCCTCTACAGGCGGGATAATGGTGACCCATTTTTTAAAAATAGTTGGAAAATAAAGAGTGATTCATCTATTCATTTGTCAAAAATATTATATAAATCGTGTCACATAATATTTTAATACTATTTATCTAATAATAATGGATAAACTACATTTATTCCTCTTGAGATTGAGAAGAAAAAAAAATACAAACAACCTCATAAGTTTTGCATTATTACATTGTGTTTTCTTAAAATTTTAATTAATATAATACATAGTCTATTTTAATCAATAATTCCTTAGGCATATGAATGAAAAATAACACTGTCATATTTTCTACACTAAAATATATATTTTATTTTATTTATTTTTGTGTCTTCACAATCTGTATTAATTTCGACTACTTTTAGCACATTACTACAGAAAAATTAATATAATTATATTAAAATTATGAAATTTATTGTGTTTTTACCAAAACATTCGAGAGGTGAATCAATAATAAACTTTCATAGGTAGAGGCAATTAACCATGCCATTTCCATGTCCATGTTGTTTAGTTTTCTGTTTCTGGCTCGATCGAAAACGACGTCGCACTGAGTGATGTAGATGTGAGGAAGATGATGACAAACCTTTTAAGTTGAGGTTTGTTTCGTCTATCTCTTTTATTTTATTAAAGAGGGGGTGTGTTTGGTTTTTAGGCCTTGATGTTATTAGGAAAGAATTTTATGACAACAACGCCGTAACAGAAGAGAGAGAGGAGACCAAGGACTTGAGGAGGGTGAACCATTATTTCAGAGTTGATATGCAAATCTATTATATTGTTTCAATACCCCACTATTTTATGGGGGGAAATATTCTAGTATCCAATGCACACCATATATAAATTATCATAAAATTATACAATTTTTATAAATTATATAAGTAATGTCATAAAAATAAGTAAATTAAATGCAAATTTGTGTAACTCTTAAATTTTTACGAATTTAGGTGTTAATGTATATATGGTACGCCAATAAGACGATTTAGAGAGTGCACCAAAAAGAGGCGGCTTAGGTGGTGCACTAAGGGACGACTTGGGTGGTGCGCCATAAGGGGCGGCTTGAGTTGTGTGCCACATGAGACGGTTTAGGTGCTTTGCATAGTGTATAACCATATTCACCATGATATATGTATAATATTACGTAAATTTATATTCAACTTATGTATTTTTATGAAATTACTTATGTAAATTTAGAAAAATTTATGTAATTTTATGATCGAGTTATATAAGATATCCATTGCACACGGGAGAATTTTTGTTTTTTTTTTTTTATTATTTATTTATGGAAGAATGGAAAACTATGGCCATGGTTACTGCTTTTTCACTGTGTGCATTTGGCTCTCTTTAAAAAATATAAAAAATATATAAAAAAAAACTTATGAAATGAGTACAAATTTGTTTATAAAAAATTCTATGCTACACACTTTCATATGTATCTTTAGTTACAACATTTGTAGTTATTGGTTATGATATATTGGAGTGTTAGTTGTGACTTATTGTGATACTAATTATGATATTATTTTTTATTATGATTCAAAAAATTTTATGTATACCTATGTGGTGCTTCGACTACAACATTTTCTTAGTTTAGTGACATTTGAAAGTGCCACAAAACTATTCTTCTAATGATATTTTTTGGTTTTGTGGCATTTTGAACAAGTGCCACTTCTATCGGTGCCACGGTAGATACGAGTGCCACGGTAAATACTTGCAAGTGTCACTGCACCATCATGGCTGAAAACTTTCAATGACATTTTAATGTCATGGTAGATATTATTTGTGGCACTATCAAGCGCCATTAAAAAAAGAGTTAGTGACACTTATAAGTGTCATTACACCATCAAGACTAAAACCTTTCAGTGACACTTTAATGTCATGGTAGACACTATTCGTGACATTATCAAGTGCCATTCATGACGATAATTCGTTGTAGAACAATTTGATCCGCTCTTGTGGAAACTCGAACCGCCAATTTTTCGCACCATAAACCTTATACACCACACTCTTCCCACTACATCTCTATAGCACCACATCATTAGTTATGCAACATATATTATTTATATAGTACATATTAAAAACGAAGAGCACGCATAAGTATAACATAAAAATATTTGTAATCATAATAAAAGATAATATTAATTAGTATCACAATAAGTCACAACTAAACTCCAATATATCATAACCAATAACCAAAATGTTGTAACTAAAGTAATAATATAAAGTGTGTACCATAGAATTTTTTATAAACAAATTTGTGCTCATTTCAAGATTTTTTTTTATTTTTTTAAGAGAGCCAAATCACACAGTGAAAAAACAGTAACCATGGCTTAATATTCCATTCTTCCATAAATAAATAATAATAAAAAAAAACAAAAAATTCTCCCGTGTGCAATGGTATCTTATATAACTCGATAATAATTTACATAAATTTTTCTAAATTTCATAAGTATTTCATAATACATAATTTAATATAAATTTACGTAATATATACATTATATATTAGTGAATATGTTATACACATGCAA